CTGTTACCTTCCCACCGAGGTGGTCCCTATTTATCTACTCGTATTTGCATGTTTTCGAACCGCTAGGTTGGCGGGAGCTGGGACAAGCAACGGGCGCTCACTCCGTTGCGTGGATTCGATCTTACGACTGCTTGGTCTTCAGACCCTGCAGCACAGGCTTCTGTGGTTTAGCCCACAGCGCCACCACGTCCCTAAGGAATCTACTAAATGCAAGTAAAAAACACTCCCAGTTACCTTGATACAACAAGATGCCTTATGCCCCCCACCGCCAAAAAAAGATTGTCTACTATACAGAAGTGAAAAGAGAGTCTTTTTTTGTCAACAACAGCATTAGCCAAAAAACAATGCGCAAGAAATCTTTTTTGTTGTTGTTTTGTGGGTTTGGGGAAAACTTGCAATTTGTGCAAAACATTTTTGCACCAAAAATAATTCGTACCTCTTCTGTCAATATTTTTTTTGGGGGGGGGGAGAAAAGGCTAAGGTGCCAAATAAATACAGGAAAACTCTTGTAAAGAGGAGTTCTGAAAGTTTTCAGACCCACCTCCTCAGATGAATTAAGCCAAAGATTTATATCTCTAGACTGTTATAAGCACAACCAAGAGATGAATCCAGTCTGCTAGTCCCAGCTAGGGAAGAAGTCACTGAATGAAAGGGTTTGGTAAATCAACACTGGTAAATCTCAATGTGTAAGCTTTGTAGCATTTATATTGGAACGTAGTGGCTCAGATCCAGTGGTGTAATTTATGCCACTTAAGGCTGATGAAGGCTGTTGTTAAACTCAATACGCCAGCAAGTTTGGAAAACTCAGCAGTGGCAAGAGGATTGGAAAAGATCAGTCTACATCCCATGGTGTCACAAAGAGTCAGGCATGACTAAACAACAACAACAACAAACCTCTCTCCCTGAGCTCCCTCGGGATCCCTTCTGCCTTGGGAAATTCTTTGAGAGCCTTTGGACATGCAGAGAAGGTTTTAAAATCAGAATATCATTGGCAGTAGTCTTACTGCCAGTTCGGGACTGCTGCCAGCGATCCAGTGGTGATTTGCCAGTTTTAAATTTTTTCCCTGCCCTATCCCCAGTTTTAAATTAGGAAATGTTAAAATTTTAACATTTTTAAATGAAATAAAATAAAGTGTAATGGTGCTGGGTGTCCATTATTACCTCCTTTAGCATTATTTTTAGTAGAAAAGTGTGGCATAAATTAATACATACATTGGAAAGTTGTGAAAAAATTTCTGCATACATTCATGATCAACTGCCACATTTTCTGGCACAAGACAAACCACACAATCCTGTGCAGGTCTACTCAGAGGTCCATCTGTGGAGTAAATTGAGCTTAGTTGGCCTAATTTGATCATGTCTGCCCTTTAAAATGTTGTAAATGTTTTTTTATGCACATGAATTTTAATGTGTTTTATTATATTATTTATTTGTATTTCATTATTTTTATTTCCTGTTCTATGAAACTGTATTTTAATTATGCTGTTTATGTTTTTTGTAAACTGCCCAGAGTGGTCCTCGGTCGGATGGGTGGTGTAAATCAAACAATCAATCAGTCAGTCAGTCAATCAATCAATCAATCAGTTAATCAGTTAACCAGTTAATCAATCACCTTTGGTTTGATGGTGCATGCACCCATCTCCCTGTGTATAGGAGTCCAAACACCAATAGGATTATGAGGTCTTCAGGTGCTGGTGGGAGTTCTAGATAATTGTTTAATTTCTCCAGATCTCCAGAGGGGAGGAAAATCTCATGGTGGGGAGTGGTAGAGGAGATAAAAGCTTTGCTTTGTGTGTGAACACGCACATCCACACAGACCCAAATGATGCCAGGGCTCACTGGCTCAGCATAATGTTATTTCTGCGTGTGCTTTGTAGAGATGGGCACAAACTGGTTCATCCCAGTTCGTAAAAAACTCTCCCACCTCCTCTGGCTAAAACAGCCACTCACCAGGCCCAGCTTGCTTGTTTTTTTTTTCTACCTCCTCAACTGATCTTCCAGTCCTGGCAATAGCTCAGGATTCTCTGCCCACCAGGTTGATGGGTTGATCTCCCACTCAGACAGAAGGATGGGACAGAGGCGGCTGTGCTCTTGCTTGTGACTGGGAGATTAGCTGAGAAGGTGGAAAAAAAACAATCAAGCTGGCCTGCTTGTGACTGGGAGATTAGCTGAGGAGGTGGGAAAAAACAATTAAGCTGGGTCCAGTGAGTGGCTCTTTGAGCCAGAGGAGGTGGGGAGCATCAGCATCTGTGCTGCCACCTTACGAACTGGGACAAACCGGGACAAACTGGTTCATGCCCATCTCTAGTGCTGTCCCTGTACCATGTTGAAGCCCCAGATGCCAAGAACAAGAAGATTGGGAGATTAGCTGAGGAGGTGGGAAAAAACAATTAAGCTGGGTCCAGTGAGTGGCTCTTTGAGCCAGAGGAGGTGGGGAGCATCAGCATCTGTGCTGCCACCTTACGAACTGGGACAAACCGGGACAAACTGGTTCATGCCCATCTCTAGTGCTGTCCCTGTACCATGTTGAAGCCCCAGATGCCAAGAACAAGAAGATTGCGGGACAAATCGGTTCATGCCCATCTCTAGTGGTGCTAGTGCTGTGCCTGTAACATGTTGAAGCCCCAGGTGCCAAGAACAAGAAGATTGATGTGTGTGTGTGTGTGTGTGATTAGATTTGTTGTGCTGTATGAAGCAAGGCAAGAGGTGGATCTCCATTATCTCATGAGACTTCAACAGAAGAGACAGTTTCGGGTCCTGAAATCTCAGGGAATAGGATGCTGCTGACCTGGAAATCCTAAACATCAACTTGATTTATATTCTTTTTAGCTCCTGTGTCAGGCAGAACTGCTATTCCACTCTCACAGCTTCTCAAAACTTTGAGTGGTGACTGGTCAAATACCAAAAAGATTATAAGATTTATTTTTAAATTCAGTCCGCCACAAGAGCTGTTATTAAAGTGCATTATTGATTTTATTCTGTCCAAAGCAGATCCTTCAGTGCGCTAACTCTCAGCTGCTAACCATCCCTGCCATATATATTATTCTGCATCTCTTGATGTCAAGGCCACTGACACTTGATACTCTGCAGAGCCGTACAGAAGAGATTTAAAAGCTTTCCTCTGCAGCACTTTGGATTAATGAGTTAAGCCTTATTAATTTGAGAAGGATTTTTTTTTTCCTTGGGAGTTGGGCATCTGTGGAATAGTTATTAAGGTCTCAATTTTGCAGCATTGTTTCTAAAACCTTATGCTAAGGAGGAGAATGGGATTCAGAGCTGGGACAAAAGGCAGGGAAATACATGTTCAGACTATGAGAATATACACATAGATAATGGTTTGAAAATAGAAGGAAGTCCATTCGGTTTGGGTTCGGGCGGCAGCCTCAGTTGGACATAAGAAGAAAACAGCATTAGACGAATAGGTCAGGCTTTGACCTACAGACTCGCACAATCCACCTTGCTTAGACTCAGCTATGGAATGTAAAAAAATGGGGAAAAAATCACCAAAAATTGCACATTTTTTCCTCATCCAGATAATGAGATATTTGCTGGTGCTATCAGCTCAAAAAAAAATTGTGCAAATTGCCCAGTAAGCATAAAATTATAATAGCCTCTGCTTTGTTGTATGTTTTTACACTTTTTGGATGAGTTGCTACACCTTTTTAAACAACCAGCTAGTGTTTCTGTTTAGTCTACAGTGAAACCTCTACTTAAGAACTTAATACGTTTTGGAATGGTGTTCTTAAGTTGAAACGTTCTTAAGTTGAAGCAAAATTTCCCATAGGAATGGACTGAAAACCACCTCCAGCCTCACACAGACCACCTTGCTTAGACTCAGCTATGGAATGTAAATCCCGACATTTCCCTATTTTGGAAAAAAAATCACCAAAAATTGCACATTTTTCCTCCTCATCCAAATAATGAGATATTTGCTGGTGCTATCAGCTCAAAAAAAAATTGTGCAAATTGCCCAGTAAGCATAAAATTATAATAGCCACTGCTTTGTTGTATGGAGTTTTTACACTTTTTGGATGAGTTGCTGCACCGTTTTAAACAACCAGCTAGTGTTTCTGTTTAGTCTATGTGTATGTGTTTGTTCTTAAAGGAAAGGGGCATTAGTTATAAAAAGAGAAACTCACATGAATTAGGGAGACTCGGGTGATTTAAAAAGTAAGGGATTTAGCAAGTATTCTTCAAATGCCAAGCTCACCCACAAGGAGGGGCCCAGATGATTTTGCTCCTGTTTTAGATGAACCTCAGCTTCAGATTAACTGCAGCCATATTCTGTTGAACTTGGTTGTACTAACCTCAGTTGGATAACCATAGCCTATAGTTACACCAAACCATGGTTAATCTAAACCAGTAGGGCAAGGATGATAGCTTGCAACCACAGTCCATACAGTATGTGGTTTTCAAAGGCCTTTTGGGGAAGCTCTGCTACATATGCTCCAACTGGGGGGGGGACTGGGGAAACCACTTGCCTTTCCCATAAAAAGGGGGAAACAGGGCCACACAAAGCCCCACGGGCCCCAAGCAAGCAAGCAAACAAAACCACTAGAATTCCTGGTACTGGAAATACTTTTTGGAAAAGAATAATTGGGCTCAGCTATGCTTCCCCCCCCCCATGGATCCTGGATGTATAAAATTATCCCCAAGACCCTCTGAAGTTCCATATTCCTGCAGTAGAGAAAGCTTCTGATTTACTTACTGCCGTGTTATTACTTGAAGGCATCTAAAGAGCTTCATCCACATTCTCAGCAAAGCACACCCAGGGCAGCTTGACATTTTCATATAATGTCGAGTTACACCTTGTGACTCAAATTTCACTCCTGATTAGCTGAAGTCAGTCCTGTTTAGCTGAAGCTGGCCATTCTTTCTCACCCCATTGTTCGCAAAATGGACATATTTTAAAATCTGCCACGGACATTTCCTCAATTAAATAAATGCTACATTTTCAGCAATATTCATCATTGCGATCTTCTTTTGTTGTTTATTGGCAGCATACCCACATTGGTCAGAGAAGCTGAATGATACGCAGTTAGACAGTGGGGATCAGCTTCGATGGGAATGTAAAGCAACCGGGAAACCTAGGCCTACCTATCGTTGGCTTAAAAATGGAGGACCTCTCTGGCCAGGGGTAAGTAGATAGTCTTTTTATTTTACTTCCAGGCCATCATACTTAAACTAATTTGTTGCTCAGAACAACACAAAGAATTGTAACTGTAAGTCTCAGGGGCATCTACGTCTGCTGGCTTTGCATATATTTGGGACTCGTTAATTGTCAGCTAGAGGTAATTGAATGTCGCTCTACCTTTTGCATGTGTAAAAGAGTAACAAGATTTCAGCCAATATATTATTTCACAGGAAGAGGAACATAGCCATAAATTAATACTGAATAGCCCAAATACTATTGCATACTTATACTGGCCGAAAGGAAAGGAAGTTACTTGCAGTGGCAAATTGCAACTAATTAACGAGTCCCCACTTGGATACTATACTGTTGGCCAATTGAATGGTTTGACATATGACTCAGAATCTAAGTGGGCACTTCTGAATTAGCAGCAATTTACTGATGTGAGTTGTCTTCCTGCCATATGCAACAGGATTTTGTCCAAAATTATTTATAAAGCCCTTAATAGCTGATATATATTTAAAATCCATGATTTTCAAGTGGGATGAAGTATTGCTAATATGTCAAAGTATCTATTCCTTTAGCTCTTACTTAAATACACATTCTTCTGTTGAACACAATTTAATGCAGAAGTAGGGCTACGCTTGTTCGCTGTTGCTGCAGACAGCAGGACTAAAACTGACAGCCAGAAATTTCAGCAAATATCATCTACCATTGGGAGAAATATCCTAACAGTGCAAGTCATTTAGCAGTGGAACACACTGCTTGAGACAGTCCTCAGTTTCCCGTTGCTGGAGCTATTTAGACAGAGTTTGGATGACCGTCGGCCAGGCATTTTGTAGCCACATCCTGTATCACGGACCCTGCCTTCAGCAGAGGTTGAACTAGATGTTCACCAAAGTCCTTTGGAACTCTGTTTGATCGTTGCACAACAGGAGTTCTGCAGTAGCAGCTATGCACAGCAACATTAGTTAATTCCATCTGTTCCAGCCTTCTCCAATTTATAACCCACCAAAATCATTTCACACGCTACCAACGTTATGCTCAAAATTCTACAAGATAGGCTACACTGAGAACTCCCAGAAGTACAAGCTGGATTTCGAAGGGGCAGAGGAACTTGAGACCAAATTGCTAACATGTGCTGGATTATGGAGAAAGCCAGAGAGTTCCAGAAAAATATCTACTTCTGCTTCATTGACTATGCAAAAGCCTTTGTTTGACTGTGTGGACCACAACAAACTGTGGCTAGTTCTTAAAGAAATGGGAGTGACTGACCACATTATCTATCGCCTGAGAAATCTATATGTGGGACAGGAAGCAAAAGTTAGAACTGGATATGGAACAACTGATTGGTTCAAAATTGGGAAAGGAGTACGACAAGGCTGCATATTGTCAGCCTGCTTATTTAACTTGTATGCAGAATACATAATGCAAAATGCTGGACTGGATGAAACCTAAGCTGGAATTGCCAGAAGAAATATCAACAACCATAGATCTGCAGATGATACCATTCTAATGGCAGAAAGTGAGGAGGAATTAAAGAACCTCTTAATGAGGGTGAAAGAGGGTGAAAGCTCAACATCAAAAAAATTACGATCATAGCCGCTGGTCCCATCACCTCCTGGCAAATAGAAGGGAAAGATATGGAGGCA